TCGTCAAACTCTCGTTGATTCACAACCATCTCCGCCACCACCACCACCACCAGGTGGTGAAAAAGGGAAACAGAGAGAGAGAATGACAATCCCGATGATCGGATGTGAGCGGGTGCAGACCGAACATTTTTTTTTTTTGATTAACGTAGATTAAATATTACATTTTCAATGAAATTCTTTGAATAAATGTAGAAAACATATGGAATCCGAATGTGAGCATAATTAAATATCTTTTTATTTTATTTTAACTATGCTGGAATTATTATGTAAATAATCTCAGAAATTACCAATTTTATTTTAGGACGTTTTGCTAAATACTTTAAAATTGTCCCGGATAGAAAAGCCATTTCATGTTTTAGTTATGTATTATGGTTCATAATTTGCACTTTTTAAAATTTTCATCAATCGAAGAAGAATTCTGGTTTATTTTGATATTGTTTACATGTTTTAGATAATCTATCTATATATAAAATTCTGTGACTTCCGCTACAATGTTAAACGCTTCAAAAAAGTTTGAATTTGTCTCTAGAAAGAAATATTTATACATGGCCAATTGTATGTTGCATAATGAATTAAATGAAAGAAATTATTAAACTGCGAATTTCCGGACATATAAAATTCTTAAACTCTCGTTAGTCCGTCCGTCTATCCGTCACACCCTCTAAAATAGACATACATTGATCGATCGAAACCAAATTTTGGGGAGAAGTGCAAACAGGTAAAGGAGTACAAAGTACAGTTGGTTTTACTAGGATGCGTAACAATAAGATAGAATTCTGGTTTATTTTGATACTCTTTAATATTTATATGTTTAAGATAATCTATCTATATATAAAATTCATTGATTTCCGCTACAAGGTCAAACGCTTCAAAATGTTTGAATTTGACTCCAGAAAGAAATATCTATACATGGCCAGTTGTATGTTGCATGCTCAAGAGTAAGAAATCCTAAGAATTTATTTTTCGCTGTTAAAAAGAAAAAAAATTTTTCTTAAAAAATATTGTTTACCATGAAGTCCTATAAAATTGAATTAAATGAAAGAAATTATTAAACTGCGAAGTAGAGGATTTCAATATGCGTCAGCGTGTGCAAAAGATTTTGGTCTATATATAAAATTCTGTGTCTTCCGTTAGTTCGTCCGTCCGTCTGTCACACCCTCTAAAATAGCCATACATTGACCAGTTGAAACCAAATTTTTAGAAGTGCAAACAGGTAAGAAAGTATAAAGTACAGTTGGTTTTACTAGTGTGCATAGCTTAGTACAATAAATTTTCACTAATTATTTGGGGAAAAATTATAAGTTTTATTATTTAACATACAAAATACTCCTACTATTTTAAAAACAATTTAATGATTAAAATAACAAATACTTATCTAAGATAGATAATATCAAAGATATTAGCGATAGATTCAACAATACTAAATACTGTGATAATTTCAAAAGATTCTAGTAATTAAAACTTCCGCTTAAATTAATTATTCTACAAAATGTCTCTTTTGTCCGTCTGTTTGTTCTTAAATACCGGAAAGACGGTTAATGCCATGTCCATCAAATTTCTTCTACTTATTCATGGGTTCCTGTGTTATTGTTTCTAACAAGGGGTATATTGATGGTATATATGCCATCAAACAACCCCAGGAAATTGTTTACTTCTCCAATAGAAAATTGTATACTTGCTGTGTCGACCTAACAGCAGCATACGACCGCATCAATAGAGAGACTTCCTTTTCTCGTCCGTAAGAAAATGCCTTCCAATCTTCGAATCCATTTAATGATCAGATAGAACAAAAAAAAAAAAAACTGTAACAATCTACAAAGTCGTACATGTCGGGCGAAGAACCCAATACTGGGACATTCCAAGTCTCATCAGGCGTACGGCAAGGAGGAAATGAGAGCGTCTGTCTCTTTAATCTCTTCCTAGACTATGCCCTGCGCGTATACAAGCACAGATATAAAAAGATGGGCACTGATCAATTAAGCATTTCATAGCATACCCCAAATGCATCTAGTAATAGAAAACAGCGTTCTTGCATTTCCTCACGAAGCCAATATACTGAGGATGAAGAATGGCGGTTATGCTGATGACATAGGTATACATAGTTGACACAAGAATGACTTTTCTGTATTTCTAAGATGAGGTATTGTAACTTATTTACACTATTTAAATTCTTCGTACTGTTGTCCTCATTTTACTGTCACATTGACAACCTTTCGGTGATATTTGTTGAAATTTCGAACCGAAACCTTTGTTGAGTCCACGGAGCGTACAACGGCCGAAACGACGAGGACAGCAGTTCGAAAAATGTAAATAGTGCAAATCAGAATGATCTTGAATAAAACATTAGCATCCAATGTATATTACTTGAAGAAGGCTGGAGAGTACAACAGCCGAAACCTCATGAATGTGACAGTAAAGATGAGGACAACAGTCCGAAAAATGTAAATAGTGTAAATAAGAATGATCTTGAGCAAGACATCAGCATCCAATGAATATCACCTGAAGAAGGCCGGAGCGTACAACGGTCAAAACGTCGTGAATGTGACAATAAAAATGAAAACAACAGCCCTAAAAATGTAAATAGTGTAAATAAGAATGATCTTGAAGAAAATATCAGCATCCAACGTATGTCACCTAAGGATTTAAAGATCTAGCAGCTTCAATATTTTTGTTTTCGGAAATAATATTTAATAATAAATATTTTTTATACAGAATGAAAATTTCAATACTAGAAAAATATTTCCATTTAATTATGAAAAATTATACGACGTAAACCTCCGTTTTCGACTTTTTTTTTTTTTTTTTTTTTTTACTAATGTTCACCCAATGGAAGGATTGTTCGATTAGCCAAGTCGATTTTACTGCTGTTATATTTCAATCTTCCATGAATTTCTCAAGTACATTCATATCTGCTCAAAGCGTATCCAAATGTAAATAAATGACGTCACACATTATGAAATGATGGTTCCGTATAGGATACATGTTCGAATCCTGTCGGAGGACGAATATTTTCTATGAAAATTTCTCGGAGATTCAGGCCGCTAAATGTTATTAATATTGTTTATTATAAAACAGAGCATTTACTTAAATATTTGTATCTATAAAAAGAACGTATAAACATAAAAATGTCTTAACATATACGTATGCATATATGCTGTGACAATATTTCGCGGCACACTTAAAAGGATCGCGTGCCATATTAATGTGCCGCGGCACGGTGGTTAAGAATCTCTGTACTAAACGCTTCAAATAACTCGGTGTATGGGTCAGTTGCAAGAAATTTAGAATAGGAAATAGGGACATTGAACATAGAATAGGTTGTGCTAGGGGTAGTTTCCCCTAATACCACAAGCTGATACATAACTAAAACATTAACCTAATAACGAGAGTCATATTCTTAAATAGTCTTGTCAGATCGAGACTTTCATGTGGATGCATGGTGCCAAACTTGTTCAGAAATATCCAACATCTCGGCTATATACAACTGATTTTTCGGATCAGTGGTTAAAAATGGCTTCCAGCAAGTGAAACTTGTAGACTCCAGCGAGGAAGATCCTTCATCGAACCTCGTAGATTGGTGCTATAGAATCGCTAACAAAGAACTGTAGCAGGTAACAGAAGCCACATCATTTGTGAACTTTCAACAGCAGCAACAGCTACAATTGGTAGCACATGTAACCCGCAGAGAAAATAACGACATAATCAAGATGCTGACCTAACGAAATTATTAACCAATCTTATGGAGCATGCTAAGGAAAAAAAAAAAACGCGGTCTTTCGAACAGGATTAGACGTTTATCCCTTGTTTCCCGTTGAGGTTCATTTTAAAGTCTATTTCCGGTTCATTCTAAAGTCTATTTCAACTCTGTACTTCTGACATCCCAACTGAGCTCTGAAATTATATTTACTATGTTTTAGGAGTATATAGTTCTCTCTATCATCTGGTTCACACTCCTCCCCGTTCTTTCGGACAGAATTAGAGGTTTATCTTTGTTTCCTGTTTAGGATTAGGTTTCTGGTTCCTTTTAAAGACTGCTTCAGTACTGTACTCTCAACGCTTGTTCATTCTTACGCTAATATTACTCCACACACTAAAACCTCTACTTTGAGTGTCCCTTAGGCCTTGCATTGGGTAAACATTAGTAAAAAAAAAAAAAAAAAAAAAAAAGTCGAAAACGGAGGTTTAGGTCGTATAATTTTTCATAATTAAATGGAAATATTTTTCTAGTATTGGAATTTTCATTCTGTATAAAAAATATTTATTATTAAATATTATTTCCGAAAACAAAAATATTGAAGCTGCTAGATTTTTAAATCCCTAGGTGGCTATTGGGACAATCTGTACCTATATTTATTTATTAAAGCAAGGGAAAACTAGTAAAAAAAAAATAAAAATTCTTAAAAAATATGGGTACTTAAAATCTTTTGCGACCCTCGTCCAGATATTTAAATTTAAATTTAAATACAGTCCAAGATTTCATAATAATTGTGATAATTTTCGAATTAATTCACTAAATGCGTAATATGTTTACTAATGATGGGGTTTAGGCAAAACTTCGCTAATTTAGGCTTTCTGCAGGAATTAGCTTAAAAAGCAAGGCTGGCTTTCAGCAAGTATGTAGAATTCTAAAATTTTAATTTTAAGTTTTAGGCTATAATTGCCACGTGAGTAAATAAATCAAGATTTTTAACAAAACAGCTCCTTCGATTAAGTGCGAGCGTCCTTGGAATTTGCCATGTCTGTACTTTGCAGATATATGCAATTGTTTCTGTCTGTGCGCGTGTCTCTGTACGTGTGTACGCGCGGATGCAGGCGAATGTGCATGGGTGGGTTCGTATTCCGCCAACCACGTGTGGGATGAAGCGGGGTGTGTGGAGATCAGTTTGTACTGCTTGCTTGCTGACTGGCCTACGGTGGGGATGGATGGATGCCAACAACATGTTATTGAAAACCTGTGTAGCCCCCACCCCACCCCCGCTTCTGCATAAGCCTCTTCTAATATGTGCGCTCATCGTGGCCTCCACGCCAACCGCTGCCGACGCTGTCACTCTCCTCAACCTTCGCCAACCCCGTCACCCAACATTCCTGATTCTTCATATAACGTTGTTTCATTCATTCATACATTCATTCATTGGCATATTCATTCATTCATCATTCATTCATTCATTCATTCATTCATTTCCCTATCAGCCTCACGTTTCACCGTTTTTCTTCGACGTTTGTATTTTTGTTTTCTTACCAGACTTATTCTTTGTTTTTCTTTCATTTTTATTTTTTACTTATTTCATCAAATTTGATTTTTGATTTTTTCTTTTTTTTCTCTCTTTCTTTCAAGTACATCATCTATTTTTAAATTATTCGTCCATTTTTCTTCTTTTTTGCTAGCTATGACACAGTCATCACTTGATTCCATTTTCTTTTCTTTATTACAAATCTTTCTCTCTTTCTGCCATTCTTTTTTTCTGCCTATCTTTCTTTCTTCTATTCTTTTTTCTTTTTGTCATGCTTTCCTTTTCTCTTTTTGTCATTCTTTCTTCCTTCCTTTCAACCATTATTTTTCTCTCTTTTTGCCATTCTTTCTTTCTTTCTTTCTTTCTTTCTTTCTTTCTTTCTTTCTTTCTTTCTTTCCATTCTCTTTTTCTTTCTTTCTTACTGCCATTCTTCCTTTCTTTCTGCCATTCTGTCATTCTTTTTCTGTTTTTTTTTTTTCCCTTCTTTTTTCTTTCTTTCTTTCTTTCTTTCTTTATTTCTTTCTTTCTTTCTTTCTTTCTTTCTTTCTTTCTTTGATTATTTTTTTTCTGCCATTCTTTCTTTCTTCTCGCAGATTCCTTGTACTTTTATGCTATTCAGGTATTCATTCATTTTCCATTAATGAAAATAGAAAATATTAATAAACAGAAAATCAATTATTTATTCAATTTCTTTCTTTCTCTCTTTCTTTCTTGCTGGTTTACTTTTTTCTGTTTCTCTTTCATCAGGTCTTTCATTTTCCCCCATACAGGATTATGTCTCTTTTTTTCTTTCGGGTTTAATTCGTCGTTCATTTTTTTTACTCATTTAATTTTTCTTTCTCTCATTCATTCATTTGATTCTTTTTTCTTTTCCTAATTCCTTTAGTTTATACAATTTTTGTCTGTCACTAATTCAGCTCATTTTCTTTCTTTCATGTTTTTGCCCCTATATTTATTTCGTCTTTCATTTAATTATATAATTTTTGTCGCTTTATTTTTTGATTTTTTTCCTTTATTTCGTCGTTCTTTCTTTCTTTTACTCAGTCAATTTTTCTATATTTTTCTTTTTCAGATTCCTTTCATCCTTCTTTCTTTTCTACCATTCCTTTATTTATCCCCTAGGCAAATCTCTTATCACTCCTCCCATCATTTTTTTCGCCCCAATTCCAATCGTTTTTTTTTCCTTTTCTCGTCGCTAATTCTTGAAAATATTCTTCCCGCCTATTTTTCTTTTCCAATCTGTCGTGGTTTTTTTTTGTCTCCCATTTTTCTGCGTTCAATTTTTTCTCTCCGTGTAATTACTGTTATTTTACATCCACAAATATTTTTCCCTCTTCCTCTTTCCCAGTCTTTCTTCTTCTTGACTTTTTTTTTTACCTTCCTTCGTATGCCCCACCCCCGCCTCGCCGTTTCGTGTCTAAGCTTCTTTCTGTCGATTTATTTTGTTTTTCTGCAGTCAAATTTACTTTCTTTCATCAGCCTCGATTTATTTTTCTTGGTTTCTTTTATTCAACATTCTTTTCTGTCATTTTAGATCTCGTTCTTCAACATTTCATTTTTTTAAAGATTCTTTCTTGACGTCTTTCTCGTTTTTCCTTTACTTTTAATTGATATTTAATAAGCTTAATTTAGTAGGGTACAACGTAAAAGGAGAAGAGAATTCGGTAAAGATCGAAGTGGGCTTTTGATGCTAAGATCCACTCTTAGGTATTTAAGAGCTAACCTTAGACGAGAACACACAGTAAAAATCGAGCGCTTAAGTCGTCATCTGCTAGATTAGTTTGTTGACCAACCAGAGTTTCACGATAAAGGTCCATGATAAGGATGTTAACTAAACTTCATTTTATGTGCCGTGGCTCCTGGGCGATCATCTATCTCCACACCTTTCCATCTTTTAGAGCTCTAAGCAATGTCTTTACCCTTACCCCCCCCTCTCTTCATTTACACAAGCTAGTTAGGTAGGTTAATTGTTGTTTCGCTATTACCTCTGAGTTGCAAGTTCTCCAGTCCCTCTTTCCTCGTTATCTTACCGAGAAATTTCGACTGTCTTTCTGATGTTAGATACAGGTATCCTTTTTGATTTGAATTTATTTAAAACCTCCTCGTTGCTCGCATGTTCCGCCCATGGTATTCTCAGCATCCTTCTGTAGAACCACGCCTGTTGCCTCAACTCTTCGTTTCATCTGTAAGGAAATTGTTCAGCATTCTCTGCCATATAGGAAGACTGGTGTTACACAACAGTTCAACACGCTTTATTTTGATTTTCAAACGAAATTTTCCCATTTCTTAATACTTTATTTAGCTTCTGGAAGGCATCTTTTGCTATTGCAATTCATCTTCAAACATTTCCCAGATTTTTACACTTCTGTATTTTTAAAAAAATCATTTCACCCTAAGCAAGTTAATAAAGCCACTAAGATACAAAAAGTTACCGAAAGTTAGATAATTTGAGAAAAAATACTATTATGGGGAGAGAATGATAAAAGAACAAAAATTAAAACGAAAAATAACGAGTTGACATTGTATTTAAATTTTTGAAGATCGAAGTTGACTGGAAAGCAAGGGTTTCACAAAGGAGATGTGCAATAGAAGAAACTGTTAACATAGAACTTACGGTTACACTTAGCAATTTTAATTGTAAAATGATGAAAACTTGCTGACAATCTGGTACTGCGCTTAAATTCATAAAGTCTACGTATTATAGAGGAAAGTAATCGTTGTTTTGAAAATGCAACGGGTCACAAAGCCAAAAGATGGGGGTAAGGGAAGTTTTCAATCTGTCTTAAACTTAGCTAGCCACAATTACGGACCCAAACTTATCATAGTATTCCTTACACCAAAACAATCTTACTTACTACAGACACCATAATACCTCAAAGTCTATATATAGTCTTAACTAGTTCTCATATGTACAATTTGTTTGTGGGGTGGGGAATAACAACTTTATAGAGGAAAGTTCATCAGAACAATTACCATGAATGTATTTATAGAAAAGGCACAGGGAAACTACATTACGGCGGTGAGAGTCTGGCTGAAGTCGAGATGATAGGTCAGGACTAATAACATTGCAGATTCTTCTTTGGATTTTATCAAGAATCTCTAAATATAAAGCAGGAGCACCAAACCATATGTGGCAGCAATACTCAAAGCAAAGACGTATGGTTGACTTATAGATATTTAAGATAGATTCTGGCGAGAAAAATTGTCTGGCCCGACATACTGAACCAATCTTCTAAGGTGTAGACTTAGCAATTGATTCAATATAGTAGTCTTTTCACACGTCATGTCGTCTGTAAACGTTACTCCAGGAAGACGCAATGAGCTATTCCCCGATTGAAGGTAAAAGTGGTTCTTTCAGACGGTTAAAAGAGAGCAGTTTCTTTTTGTGGTGTTAAAATTCGCAAGCCATTCCTTGCTCTAGTTAACAACAGATTGTAGGTATATTTTTAAAACCAACTGCCAACTTGACCTTATCGAACCGACTTACTATTACTTACTTGCTTGATTTTGATGTTTCCAATATGTTTGCATTTTGGTTGTGCATTTTGTTAAAACCTTACATTCTTTCTTGTTTCTTACAATTGATAGTACTTTCTTCGCGATTTCCTTTACGAATTAATTGGCACAAGGGTGTAAATACAATATTAATTGGCACAAGGGTGTAAATACAATATTAATTGGCACAAGGGTGTAAATACAATATTAAATTGGCACAAGGGTGTAAATACAATATTAATTGGCACAAGGGTGTAAATACAATATTAATTGGCACAAGGGTGTAAATACAATATTAATTGGCACAAGGGTGTAAATACAATATTAAAAGGCTAGAATTTTTAGTTCAATTTTCCAAATCAATCAATGACATTTGAATAAGCTGATTTGTTTGGAAAAGTACTTTGACAAAAACCCTACTTCGCTATCGAATCATTTTTAATTTAATTTAATTTTATAGGCCATCGTGGTAAAAAAAAATACTTTTTAAAGAAAATTTCTTTTCTATATTTTAACAGCGAAGAATAAATTCTTAGGATTTCTTACTCTTGAGCATGCAACGTAAATATTTCTTTCTGGAGCCAAATTCCAACTTTTTGAATCGATTTATAGTTCTCGCAAACGCAGGTACAAACTGGAAACTGGATTCTTATATATAAAAACTTACAGAAAAGATATGCAAAAAGTAATATTGAATTTTTATTAAACAAATATTTGTTAATTTAATCATTAAATTGTTTTTAAAATAGTAGGAGTATTTTGTATGTTAAATAATAAAACTTTAAATTTTTCACAATAAATTAATGAAAATTTATTTTACTAAGCTACGCACACTAGTAAAACCAACTGTACTTTATACTCTCTTACCTGTTTGCACTTCTCCCAAAAATTTGGTTTCAACTAGTCAATGTATGGCTATTTTAGAAGGTGTGACGGATGGACGGACGGACGAACTAACGGAAGACACAGAATTTTATATATAGACCAAAATTTTTTGCACACGCTGACGCATATTGAAATCCTCTACTTTGAAGTTTAATAATTTCTTTCATTTAATTCAATTTTATCGGACTTCATAGTAAACAATATTTTTTAAGAATTTTTTTTTTTCTTTTGAACAGCAAAAAATAAATTCTTAGGATTTCTTACTCTTGAACATTCAACATACAACTGGCCATGTATAAATATTTCTTTCTGGGGCCAAATTCAAACTTTTTTGAAGCGTTTGACCTTGTAGCGGAAGTCATAGAATTTTATATATAGATAAACATGTAAATATTAAACAATATCAAAATAACCAGAATTCTATCTTATTGTACTAAGCTACGCAACCAACTGTAATTTGTACTCTCTTACCTGTTTGCACCTCTCCCCAAAATTTGGTTTCGATCGATCTATGTATGTCTATTTTAGAGGGTGTGACGGATAGACGGACGGACTAACGGGAGTTAAAGAATTTTATATGTCCAGCAGACGCAACTTGTCCAGAAATTTGATCGAAAAGTGACCTGCGCTCAACAGCATTTGATTTTTTTTTTACAGCTTATCAACACCTTGTAGGTTATTTAAAGCCGAATCATTTTGAATTATACAAACACTTCTTTTTTTGGCGAATGATTACAGCATTATCAATCTTTTGGGAATAACAATGATTCATCAATCGGAAAACAATGGGAAATATTGCAATATTAACACAGAAAGAATTTTGGAAACTACCCCATCTGCCGTATTTTCTATGGATACTACCTTATGAAGATGTGAGTGGGGAGCTCCGAATCATAGATTCGGGGAGGAGCACGAGACCCTTGCACCGGACCTAGGTAGGATTGTCTGGATATTATTCATTTAGAATTCTTAAAAAGTATTCAAAGAATAAATGCACATTTATACATCCAGGAGCTGCAACACGTCCGTAAAAGTTTGGACAAAAAGCGTGCTGCGCTCAAGAATTTAAAAAAGTTGCTCCCCTTACACGTTAAGCATACAGCAAGAATAACACAGGAAAGAAAATTGGGAACTCAATTTGTCTCTTCTTGCTTATCCATATTTACCTGATCTTGTACCAACCAATTTTTACCTATTTTGATTACTACAAAACATTTTGGTGCAGAACACTTTGTCTAATGAAAAAGAAGGTTCCAAAGGTTTCACGAAAATTTTATCATCTTAAAAACTGCAATATCATACTCAAAAGTTATCAAAGATTGTAATGATCAGGAAATTGGTTCCACAAAGCAGTAGTTTATGGGAAGAAGCTGTTCGAGTGGAAGTTACATCTCATTAATGGTATACGAAGGTTGGTTTACTACAATATCAGTGAGTTCGATCCTCACTGGGTGCCCCATACTTCCAGCCTTGTGCCACATCTGAGCTAGGCTTGAAAAATTACTGGGCACCTCGAGACGGTGTAATGGTTATCAAGCTTGTCTTGCTAGAACCATTACGACTGAGGAGTGAGTTCGATCCTCACTGGGTGCCCCATACTTCCAGCCTTGTGCCACATCTGAGCTAGGCTTGAAAAATTACTGGGCACCTCGAGACGGTGTAATGGTTATCAAGCTTGTCTTGATAGAACCATTACGACTGAGTAGTGAGTTCGATCCTCACTGGGTGCCCCATACTTCCAGTCTTGTGCCACATCTGAGCTACGTTTGGAAAATCACTATAATATATTATAACAGGTGATGAAAAATAGGGAGCCACTTCTCGTAGATTGGGGGTTGCACCGGCCCTGGGTGGGATTGGGGCATTATTCATTTAGAGTTCTTAAAACGCATTGAAGCACTAAATTCACATTTATAAGTCCAGCAGCTGCAACATGTCCATAAATGCTTGTTTAAAAAGCGCCCTGCGCTCGTCAATATGAAAAATGTTGGTCTCTTCAATGACAAAGCATGAATAATACAAGAAAAGATTTTTGAATTCGGTGGGTCCGTTCTACGCCACCCACCATATTCACCTAAACTTGCATCAACTACGACTCACTGGTAACCCCATGATAAAAACTTGCTCTTCTTTTCGGACTAGATCTTTTGATAC